GGGCACGTCTCTGAAATACGAAGTCCTTTGGCGGGTGCACATAATGGCTTCTCTACTGCTTTTGGAGCTTGAGGGCAGACGTTCATCCTGATGAATCCCTGGGTTTAAAATCTGAATGTATTAAATGGCTAAAGCAAGCAAGTATTTATTTTACAAAAGGATTCTACCTCTGTCTCTTCTCTTCTCCGCCCTGACCAAAGAACGGAGCCAAGTGCTCTGGAGCACGGAAGATGAATCTGGACCATCTTCACTATGAGGAGCGGGCCATCTGTTCTGGAGGAATCTCCGCACTTTTAGGAACAGTTCCCAAGTCCCTAGATCTCTCTTCATAAATCATTAACTAATCTACCAAGAGCTTAAAGACAGGGAGGGGGGCACCATTTTGCAGGCAATAGGTGAGTGTTCCCTTCCCACACCTGCTCTTCCTTACTCTTTACTCATCCCAAAGCCTGCCCATGTCTCCATCCCGGCTCTTCCCAGTCTCCTCCTCAGGCCACTCCCTTCCCATTCACAATAAGTGGGCTTGTACCTGAGCACATGCCACTTTTTTATGGCAACAGGTTAAATATCACCTTAGATCATTTTCTGGTAGCATCCTGTATAAGTGTTTAAAGTTTAGATTACTGTTTCACTTTTTTTGCAATAAATTTTTTTTCCCCTTAACTACATCAAAAGCACTTTGACGGCTGGGGGGCCGAGGGAGAGGTAGCATTGCAATATAGCGGAGCAACACGGGTGCTGCTTAGGAACTGACCTGCATTCGTGTTATGGCTCCATCACTTCCTCATTATGTTCTTTGGAGGGCCACATAATCTCCCTGAGCCTCAGTTTCCCCAACTGTCACATGAGAATAATAACTACACCAGCTAGGGTCGTTGTGAGGGTTAAAATAATGTATGTAAGGTGCCTAGGATATAGGAGCTGATCAATAAACAGGAGCGATATTGTTATTTAGGATCTCTGCCTTGTACTTTTTTGAATCCTCCATGGAACCTTTTATGGGAGAGGCAAGGTTGATAAAAATCTTCTACTAACATAAGTGAACTGAAGTTGAAAAGTTGAAGCTGGAACATATAAACTATATTTAAAATATGTACCCTTAACCAACAACAAAAACATAGATGAAGTGAATGTAGCAGAATGTTAATAAGTCTTAAATATAGATGATGAGTGCTTGGGTCTTATACTTTCTACTCTTCACTATTTAAAAATTTTTTGTGATAAAAGGTCAAATAGTAAAAGCAATATATATATATATGTATATATACACACACACACATATATACATATACACACAACACACACACACATTGGGGAGGCGCCGATGCATTATTAATTTTTGTTAATTGATTGACGTAAATTTTCATGCCTTTTATGCCTAAACTATTTAATAATAAATAAAAAACAAAAACCATCATCTACTATCACATTCATCAGTTACCGAAGAAAATGACATATATCAGTATGAAAAAATATTTAATAACTATAATAAATCTTATTAAAATAAAATGAAAATAAATACACCCTCAGATGTAACTTGGATAAAACTTGACGTTACAGGGGAGGCACACCTCTTAATACAGGACTATCGTCCGGATTATTCCCTGGATTGGCCACCAGGGGCTGCTAAAGAGTAGCATTCCCAGGAACCGGGCAGCAAGAGAAAGATAAAAACCATTCAACTTGACCCTGAGAGGTGCGAGTCCCTGGGAGTCACGCTCATTATTACACCGCCCGGAGTCTGGGACCAGAGATTTCAGCAGATCCTTTGGCCTGTGGTGAGGACCATGCCTTGTCACAGGGGCAGAGCTGCCTGCAACCAGCGCAAGTGTGAAGCTGGTGTTGGCACCTAAACGTGGCATCTTAGCATCCCCGGGCACTGGGCTCACTCAGGCTGTGTCACAGCTGACAACTTTCACGGCTGCTCTGCCACGAGCTGTAACGTGTGGGGCAGAGATGGAAGATTCTTATCTAGGCTTCTAATTCCTTTTTCCAGTCACTTCCCACACAGTGAGACTTACTTCCAATATACACTTAATGGCATCAGCACACTCTGGAAAAAATATATAGCAGCTAAATAAGCTAGACTAGAAAATTATTTCTGTCCTTAAAGTACAGCCCAGACCAAACCCTGTGTTTTAACTTTATGTATCTCACATATCTCTGATTCATCTCCCTTGAGAGTAAAACATTTGAAGGTAAGGCTTTGTCAGATTTCCTTGTACTCAGAAAGAACGTCTTACTGACTGTTCAAAGTACCTTTGCCAATTAATTCATCACATTCTCACAATAACCTTGTGAGGAGTTATTATTAATCCTATTTGAAATCGAGGAAACTGAGACTCAAAGATGACTGATCAGAGGTGACTCGGCTAGCAGGAGGCCAAGCGAGGAAAAGGACGTTATTCCTTCTGGTGATGATGACAAAGCTCAAAGAGGGGCAGTAACTTGCTCAAGATCTCATAGCTACATGCAGGTGGAGATGGGACCGACTCCTTGCTGGTGCCGTGCCCTCTCTCCACTATGCCATGCTTTGCAGATGAATATGCTATAGCATAGAAAAGATATATGTGTAGAGTTCCAGCAAAGTCTTCTAACTGGAAGTGCAAAAAGATATTGTCTTTTCAGGCAAGCTATAAGGGTCATGCTCTTCACAGCTGGCATGCTCAGCTATGACCATTTCTCACACATAATAATGATACATCGGCTACCCAAGACAGTGACACTGAACGTTTCAGGATTACCAGACCTCACAGTAGAGGGCTCCATCACTGGAGGTTCCCAGGTTGCTTTGCCTCTATTTTCCCAGGTGCTCTACTGCATGTCACACCTCCTGGTCTAATTTGGTATTATTGGTAAACTCTCAGATCAATCATCTTAAACCACACAGAATACACGACAGCCTGTGTGGCAGATACCTGTGTTCAAATACAGACTTTTTTTAACTTGTCCATTTTTTCTTCTGGGGTTTATCTGGAGAGAGAGTTGAGACCAGAAAGACAGAGAAGAGAACACACTGTGTGGGAGATGAAATGCCACGGTCATCTGGGAGGCCTGTCTGGAGCTACTGGCTACGGCTTACTGAAAAGAAAATGAAGTTCATGTCCCCCACCCGTCTTGCTGAAATGTCATACTGTGTGCAGCTCCAGCAGTAGGGAGGCCCAACGGAGATGCCCACGAATCACCTGCTGGCCTTTTTTGGTCTCTGACTTAAGACCTGTGTGTATGCTGCAGAGAAATAAAACTCACACTCATGGGCCAACATGGAATTTTCCTGGGGCACAGAAATGCATAACTATGGGGAACCAAGCCTTAATTTTGGCACAAGGACTTCTTTTCTGCCATGATGCCACAAATGGGGCCCAAAAGTTCCAACTTTAAAACACAGTACATCTTACCAATATGTTCTATCAATGTCTGTTGATGTGTCTGTCCACGTGAAACCTCTGTCCAGGATGTGTTATGGCATTGTGGATGATGCACGGAAGGAGTAATCCCAGAGCGGGCAGAGTAACAAGGTAAATGTTACCACTGAACTTCAGTGAACAACCCTGTTTTCCTTTCTTTATCAAAGAGGGGACAGTCAGCAGAAAATATACATCCAGCTGAAGAACAAAAACATGCCACTCTTTCTCTAAGAACAAGAATGTTCAACGTTTTCCATGGCAAGTCAGGCCTCTTTGGTGCTCAAAAATATGTTTGTAATTTTAATTCTTACGAGGGTGGGTGTATAGCTACTTCAGTTGTTCAAGGTTGACACCAACAGTACTAGGCCAGAAAGGAAGACACGAAATTCAAATTGGTCATTCATTGCTGGTGTTAAAATTCTGGTTAGGGGAGAGGCTGAAACTATTGGTAAAACTGAATTCTGTCCACGTTGTCTTTCATTACAACAACTAATTGGTTAATTGGCTCTTTCTTTTTTTTAGCATAAAAAGAAAACAACAGAAATGAGCAGCTCAAGCTTCTATATGGGGCAAGGGGAAGGCAGAGGATGTCATGGAAGGCCAGAGCCCTCCGCACTCTAAGGGTCAGATGATAAACAAACCAGTGGGCATGGTGCTACTTCACAGTCTTCTGATTTTCCTCTTTAAATTAGCCGGAGATCCAGTCAGCTGACTTTCTTATTTGGAGAGCACTTATACAGAATTTTTACTTCCTCCCTTTTATAGATACCAGAAGGTCCACATAGGAAACTCAAAATGCCCTATGAGTTTTTAATACACTAATTCATAATGTTTAAACCTTGAAGGCAAATGTTCATTTTCTCCCCCAAACATGCCTTGGGCCACCTCAAGGTGAAGCAGAAATGCACTCAATCAGACAGCAGGCTTCCACCAGCCTCTGCTCCCTGTCAAGAGACGGGAAGCTGAACTACACCACAGCTAATGACAGACTCAGTGTCCAGACAGCCCTGGAGCCTCTGGACACTTAGTTGCTGAGAAGAAACCAATCCTCTCTGCGTTTTCCGAAAAACTGAGGGAGCAGGGAGGACCCTGTGGCCCCATGTTCCACAAACCTTGTGAGCGTGGCCCTGAGGAGACGCCCTAAGGCCTGGCACTTTCCATCTCTCCTCAACAAAGTGGGACAGCACTGTGGCCCTGTCTCCCTCTGATCTGAAATGGGCACGAATTTCAGAATCTGGCCATTTCCTCTCCACAGTGCACACAATCACATATTCCATTTTCCTCAGAGATCTCACCTTCAAGATATTCATTAATATCTTTTTCTTTCTTTTTAACATAATTTTCTCTTTTGGCATCAAGATGATTAAATCATTCTTCCCTGGCTAATTTCTTTCACATCTCAGTATAAACTTGGGTCCCAAGACATTATATGACGCTGCCGGAGATTTTGTATGACTTTATGAAAATCAAACCTGAACTCTAACGCCAAACCCAAACCAAAAAACCCATACACACCACACACAACCATCACCACCACCAACCCCCTCGCCCCCAAACAGAAAGGCCTTCAACATTCCCCGAATGTGGCCTCACCTTCCCAAAGAAGTGCTGTGTGGACACGGCGAGGGCCTCGAAGCCACGGAAGGCCCTCCTCAGCTCGCCCCGCACGAGGCCCAGCTGCCTGGCCTGCTGCTCGCATCTCTCCTTCAGCCGCTGGACCAACTGCCGCTCAGCTTCGCGGGCCTGCAGGTCTGGCTTCGGGGGAAACCCATTTCGGGGAGCTGTGGTCCTCTGCTTGGGGTACCCTATAATGAAGAAACAGTCACTTGTAAAAAAAAGATTCAGACCAAATGTGACAGAAGGATTTCATCAAGAGCAAGTGGCCGAGAAGGAAGAGCCCATGGTTTGTCAGATTAGCGATTCGACAAAACAGACTTGAAAATATTTGCTCCATTTATGTGGTTTCAAGGGCAAGTTTTCATGCTTAGAAAAAGAATAACAGACAAATTTGCCAAATTCCCTTCAGCTTCCTATATTTCTTCCAGACCTGCTGAGAGAGACTGAAGCCGTTTCTTTTTTCTTCAAGGGGCTTGCTCTTTGAAAATGTCTGATGGGAAGTAACTCGATCAATCCGGGTCAAAGTCAGAATTATAACCCAGCAAACTTTAATTGGGCACCAGGGAGTAACGCCTACATGCCCCTTCCTTCCCTTTTCGTGGTCGCTCTAGTGACCCTTTCTTCAATGTCAAGCCAAATCACACCTCTGACGACCTTTGCTCCAGGGACTTCTGGCTTTAAACTCCTACAGCATCAATGTCCTCCAAAGTATTCCCCCATGTGACCACTCACACCACCTCTGTGGCTAAAGGTCCAGTCCAGTCACGCACCAGCACAGTTAGAAGAAAGTGCTGATTCCCTACCAGCCCACAAGGCCTCTGAGATCTGGCTCCTGTCAGGAAAAGATTGGGTGTGGGGGGCCACAGAGGAAGCAGCCAGAAGCTCCGCCTGGGGGTGGGGACAGGGTGGGGGAGGCTTTGAGGAGAGGTGACTTTTAGGCTGCAGCTGGAAGGAGTAAAGGCAAGGCCCCAGGAAAGAGCACAGAGACAAGCACTGCATCATGGCCAAGGACCCCGGGTCAGCAAGAGTCTGCCTTGGAACTGCTGTCCTTCTGGCGTGCGGCTCAGACACACCTGACACCCGCACAGGACCTCGTGCTGGACAATGGACTCCCATTCCAAAGGCACGTTCTTTCCTTTGCTCAAGTAGACGGTGTCCTAGAGGACATGACATGGACGCTGACCGCACAAGTATGAACAAACTTCGATGCTTCAAACATTCTTTTGTCTCCCCGCTCTGCTTCCAAAATATCAGCGAGTAACATACAAAACAAACGGAAAACGGTCGTCTCTTCAGTACCTGACACGCTGAGACACAGCAGAATAAGGGCTTCTGAGCACACAAGTGGCCTTGTCTTTTAAGGGGAAAGGGGCTAATTGATCTAAATACTTCTGATTATTAATTTAATGGTAACCATGCTAATTTTAATTAAATCTTCCTCTTACGAAATCATCAGAGATTGTAATGCAACCTCACATATGACACATCTTAAACTATTATGACTTAATGGATAGTAGAATGTGCAATTATTGCTTCTTATCAACTGTCTATGTTAGTAGAGTAAATAATATTCCAGGAAATTCATTTGCCCATTGCAGGCAAGATTGCTTAATATATACTTAATCCCAACATTCTCAACACTGAAAATGAAAGAAAAATAACAACCAACAGAATGTGAGTGATTTTACTACCAGCATCAAGCTCTAAGACACAGCCTAAGATGGAAGGTAGGTTTTTCATGACTACTGTTCGCCACTTTATTGTTGTAGCTGCTGATTTTATAAAACACTCCAGTGTTTTAATTAATGCATTGAGGTCCCCGGTGCCTGACACCATTACAACAGAAGGCACTTCTTTTAGAAATTTGAAGGAATAATAAAACATATTTCCAGTTTAGGGATTTAAAGCTGACTGGGATCACGGCATACAGAGGCACTTCTGAGCTTGTGGATATTAGGAAGCACTCACGTCGTCATGTATTTTTGGCCGTCAGAGCTATCCCCTGTTATTATTATTATTATTATCATTATCATTATTATTAGGTTCTCAATTACACTCAACGGTAAATGGACAATATAAAAGGATTTGGTGAGATCCTATTCTTGGTGTTAACTTTGACACAGGTATTATTATATTATTACTCACACACTTAAAATCCCAGTGTTCTGTGGAACACCAGTGCACTCAGTCCACATTTCTATTCCTGGGGCCACCAAATTGACATTCTGGGCCAAGAAAGAGGCTCCTCTGAGAATATCAGCTTTTGGTACTAACACACCAGGTGAAAGGTTAGCTGCTTTGTGACGGCAAACCACCTCATGAAACCAGTCCTTGTCTGGGGTCCCTGGTTGGCTGCACATCTGCCACCCAACCGCTGCCACAGCACAGACTAAGGCTCAGGCCCCAGGCTAAGATTGTAGGAAGGAAATGCAGGGAAACAAGGATTTTTTTTTGCTTTATTTATTGCTTTTAGTTGAAAAGGGACCTGCCATTTTCTAAATATATCAAATATAACTTTGCCTAGGAATAACAATCATTTTACAGTCGGTACCATATTTCTGGTCCTCACAAAATCTGTATTCTTTCTTGTGCTGTCATTTTGTGTTAAGTACTTCTATAGTGAACTGTCCCTTACTTTCCTGTCCACCTCTATCTCAGACTATCCTCAGGATGGTACATAAGGACAGGCTTCTCTACCATGTTGGGGACAGAGAGCTTCTGTTGAAAGACGACGACTGACACACAGCCAGCTTCACTTGTTTCATTAAAAATTTAGGAGGATTTTGCTTGCCTCTGCTGTCTTCTCTTAAAAGCTAGCACACAATGAAACGAAAATGCCGATCTGCTTAGGAAGTAAGGGGTTAATGGGGCCATGAGATAGAAAACCTCTGGAGGTGAGTGGGTCACCTGGAGCTGGTGGAGCTCATGGCGGCACTGGATGGCATGTGGCGATCTTATACCTGTGTTTCTCGGGAAAAGCCACTGTGCATGCTTTCTATGAGGGGCATGCCATGTCCCCTGAAGACACTGCGGGTGCTGGAAGGTTTCGTTATCACCTCCCTCTCTGTTCCTTGTGGTATTTATATTGCTTCTGGGGTGCTTGAAGTTTCAAAGCAGGCAGGCGTGCCAGTGACCTCTCTCTGTGGTCAGGCTGAGCCTCCCGACATGGGTTTAGTTCTTCTCAAAAAATCAAAACTCTGGTCTCCCACAATATCCTTCCGATTTCCACCCAGTTGAACAAGGAAGCTGATATTAATGAATAAATACCTTCAAAATAAGGCTTAGTCATGGTTTTGGAGTCTTTAAAGGAAGTGAACAAGAGAGCAGAAATACTAGTTTTTTACTGACTGCCCCTTATAAACTTCCCGACTGTGGATGAGGCTTCTGCTCAATGCAACTCTTCGACAGGAAATGCATGGATGGAAATACCTAGACTCGGTCCTGCCATGACCAGAGCTGACTTCATATGTATACTTCATGTCATGGGTTTTTGGGGAGGGGGATGAAAATATTTGACAACTTTTATTGAGCACCTACTATGTGTACGATATGTGCAAGGCCCAGAGGGGAGTGCAAAGGAATGTGGCCCTGTCCTTGACCTTAGGCAATCCTTGTCAGGCGGGGCCCAGTCAGGCCTGGATTTCAGGTCTTGTGACTCCTTATCCAGGGCTCTTACACTTAAGCACAGGTGGATCCACTCGACAGCATCTCTAACAGATCTCACAGGCTTGGGAGCACACTCTAAATCCAGACCATCCTCTTCTTCCTCAATCTTGCCCCAATCCCAGTTTCTTTTTAGCTCTCCTATTAGCTGCATAACTCTGATTAGGGGTGGAGAGAATCTACAATGATCCCAGTGACAACTGGCAACTTGGAGGAAAAAGCCAGTAACCTTCTTCTCTCACAAAGGTGAATGCAAGCAGTTTGCGTGCAAAGGCTGAGCACTAGGGAGAACACAGCCCTTGAAAATGGAAAGACGATATTAAAAATTCATTGGCAGCTATCCAGAGGATTCTAATGGATGGAAAAGCTTAGTTTAATTTTAAATCTGGAAGCTTAACTGACACGATAACAAACGAACAGTGTAGCCTTAGATCCTGTGTATTTACAACATCAGAGAAGGCCCATGACCTTAACACTTGTAAACATGAAAGGAAAGAATTATAGGACACAACTTTAATAGGGTTCTGGCTTAAAGAAAAGTACTTCATGAGTCTGGTCAACATCTTAACATAAAGGAAACCTGTTCCTTGCAGACTGGCACCAGCAGGACACCCCAAGGAGCACATGTGCTGAGCTCTTTGTGGTCTTGGACAGGCTTTACTTCTCTTAAGCTGATCTAAATTTATTTCAGAAAATTTTGCCCAGTAGCACACTATTTTCCTAGAAGGGTGAAGAGCAGATGGCATGAGGGTAGGAAATTTCCTTCCAGCCAGTCCTAGGCAGGGGTGAGGGCAGGAATGACTAAATTGGGCAGCACCCACCCACATGGTAAGTAAGTGACCTGCTACACTCTAGAAAGGAGAGCTTTACATTTCACATTCCAAGGAAAGAGCAGACTCATTTCTACTTGAGGTAAGAACAGAAAAAACAGGAAGTTACAATCAGGGTTTCCCAGGCCAACTATGAAAAATTTGTCACTCTAATCCACTCTCTAGCAAAATAAAAATTGACATAAAGTATTCTCATTTTCAGGAAATTTCTTATTATTCACAAGAAATACAAGTGCTATTTACAAGACAAATATAAATTTCTCTTTTCTCCAAGAGTGAAAAATCATGGTTTATCTTATAATATGTAATACATATTATATTACATTTTTTATATTAAAACATATAGCTACTTCTAGCCAAGATAGAGTAAGGATCAGACTTACCTTTTGATCTGAAACTACCCCAAAAAATTTGGCGTAAATATATAAGACAATGGTCTTCAAGACATTAACATTAGGCGATGAAGCATAGTGATCCCCAAGAGTCGGCAAACGAATGAGGGGATCCCCGCAGTTGCCTCAGCCCATTGCCTGGAGCCACTTTCCCAGCTGTGGCACAGCGAGTCACCCAGGCGGAGGCTGCTGTCTTCCCCGAGTTGAGAAAATGGAGCTGGGGGCTCAGGGAGGTCAGAGGTTACAAGGCAGAGCGGCAGAGAGGAGAGAGTTCCACAGAGAAAGAACTTAGGAGATGTGCAG